TCTTTGACAACTGGCTGATTGGCTAAAAGGTACATGGTCCCAGAAGTATTTCAACTTGTCCTATGTCATGACTTGCTTTGTTTCTCTTGATAATGCTTATCTTTAAGTGTCTTTACCAGATAATTTGGCGACAGAGGACCCTTGGAACTGCCATAGCCCACCTCCTCATGATTATGGACTCCCCCAGGACCCCCTCCGGTTGCCCATGCTTGGCTAACCAAGTTAGGCAGAGACTAAGACTGTCACAGGCTGGCATTACCATGCAGCTGCCCTTAATCATAATGCATTTTTAGCCAAGGATGGGTAAGATGTCCCATGACAAGTACTCCTAAGACAGGACATACACATGGTCAGGTCTTGATCAGAGGTGACACAACCTAAGACAGGCAAAAATGCATAAGATTAGAAGAAGGAGATGGCCATCTCTCCTCAGGGAGCTGCCTGTGAGGTGGGTAACCCGTGAAATAAATTCAGTCTGCCCTTAAAAATAAAAAGGGGGATATGTGGGGACCTAAAAGCCCCATCTTGCATAGGTCCAAAAGGAAGTTACTGGGGCCACAGCCTGGCTTGCTTTGAAAGTCTGAAGAATACTTCCGCACTGCTGAGGAGTGAATGATCAGCATGTGACCATCCTTAAGATACACCCTCAGGGGGGGAGTGGGGAGTTCCAGGGGCCTTTAAAAGCTCTGTAATACCTGTAATAAATGAGTCCCTGCTTGACTAGACTCCCCGTTGCATCTGAGTGTCCCCAGTACTGGGGTGGCGTGGGCTGGCGAACGGCGTGCTTACTCATCCCCAATCATCACCTCCCCAGGGGTCCCTGGTTTGAACCCCTGGCAGTTGGATTTAGTTTGGGGGCCTTAGTGAAATAAAAAAGTTAAGGACAGCACCTATGCTATTAGTCTGAACAACTGGAAGAATGGTTGTACCAATAAACAAGTCAGGAAGACTCACAGAGTTTGAGAGAAGAGTGTATATTCTGTTTATGATACATTGGGAAATAAATGGAAGAATTAGAATGAGACATGGAGATTAAGACATGAAGATTAAGATAGGGTCTACACAGAGAAAGTCACTATGTAGGTATAATTGCTTTTAAGGTAGAAATGGGCCACAGTCTTGAGTGAGAGCAGCTTTTGAAGAAGTAGAAGTATGGACAACAGAACAGAAGCAATTGAGGATCAAGCCCCACTCCACCATAGTGATTCACCCTTAGGAGAGGAGCTAGCAAATGTCTGTGAGGAAAGGCTAGTGAAGGAAGAGACCAACTGTGCTAGCAGAGTTTGTGATGTGTACACTTACTCTCTTTCCAGACTCTTATTCTAATACACAAGACTGCTCTCCTTCCATGTTTTTCTTCATATATAATTTATTTTCCAAGCACATCATATTATAGCCATTATTAGATATTAAACATTTATTTACAAAAAATGAGAACAATTTCATATAGTCCATTTAAAGTGGAGACAATTTGAAGTGCTGTAAAAATACACAGTGGAGGGGCTGGATGGATGGCTCAGTGGTTAAGAGCACTGGCTGCTCTTGCAGAGGATCTAGGTTCTATTCCCAGCATCTACATGGCAGCTATCAACCATTCGTAACTCCAATTCCAAGGATCAGAAGCCCTCTTCTGACCTCCATGGGCATTGCATGACATGGGTACACTTATATACATGCAAGCAATATACTCAGACACACAAAAAAAAATAAAAATTTTTAAAAAAAATACACAGTGATAGCTATCACATTCATTGTTTGGTGAGCTGTCATTTTAAAACACAGTAAAATTTCAGATACATTTTAATTTCAGAGATGTTAAAATATGAAAAGATCCACATCTTAAAAATGGGAAAGATTGGGCTGGAGAGGGATCAGAAGTTAAGAGCACTGGCTGCTCTTGCAGAGGACCCAGGTTCAGTTCACTGCACCCACATGGTGGCTGACAACTGTTTTAACTCCAGTTCCAGGGGATCTGATGCTCTCTTCTGACCTCTATGGGCATTCCATGTGCACTTATATATATATATATGCAGGCAATACACTCAGACACATAAAAATAAAATTTTAATTTTTTAAATTTTTTAAAAAGTGCACAATATCATATACAACTGAAAAATCCACAAAGCAACATGCATCTTTACTATGTATAATAAATTAAAAACATGAATTACATGAGCTAATACTTTATTCATAGTTAAATGTGGTATTCTGTCTATTTTGAATATTTAAGAAGTAGTAGATTTGACATGTGACTTATTAATGGTTCATGTCTTGAAGTTTGAAAAAAAATGTCCAGTTTAAAACACTCTAGATGTTTGTCAGTGAAGGGAAGGAAAAGAGGTAGGGTATAAAGTATAGAATAAAGCACATTTTTTACATGTGTTGCTAATGTGTCATTGTTGTTTATTTTATTTTTTTATGCGTATGAGTGTTTTGCCTGCATGTATGTAAATGTACCTCATGCCTGCATGGTGCCCTCAAGGGCCAGAAGAGGGTGTATGACCCCTTGGTACTGGAGTTACAGACAGTTGTTAGCTGGCATGTGGGTTCTGGGAACCCAGGTCCTCTGCAAGAGCAGCCTGTGCTCTTAACTGCTCAGCATCTCTCCAGCCCTGCTAATGAATTTTTTAAGGTTAAAAATATAAAAAAGCAGTCCATAAATCAGGAGAGGTAGAGTATATGGGAAGGTAAGAGCAGTGGAGAGAAAACTGGCAGAGCGAGTTCTATCTGGAAAGAGGCAGACAGGCATTACATGAAGTGAAAACATGGAGAGTCTTAATGGTGAAGTTTTCATTTCCTTGCTTACTGGACTTTGTGAGAATTTAACCAATTGATCTTTTCAAATAAAATATTTTGGAATTTATTTATTTTTCATTTTATTGTTTGTTTTTTATTTTATTGTTTTGTGCTGCTTAATCTTTCAAGTTGAAGGAGAGTGCCCCTCAGACCCACTCCCTGTCCCCTGAGAAAAAGCTGCCCTCTGCCTGACTCTGGAAATCCCCTCCATTGTTCAAACCCTTTCCTGGTACATCTGTTTATGGTTTCTATGGAGATGGTCTGGGGCAGAAGAGGAAGAACGGTCTGCCCCAGGTAAACTAACCAATGGCTGTATAGGTTAAGGCTCTGGAAATCAGCCCTAGATTGTTCAAATCCTTTCCTGGTTCTTCCTTTTATGGTTTCTATAGAAATCCCCTGCTCTTCAGTTTTTGCACTTAAAAGCCTTGCATTTCCATGGCTCTGGGTTGCAGTGCAGCTCCTGAGACTGCCTGCATCCCTGGCCAGTCGGTCTCAATAAAGCAGATAAGTTTTCCTGAGTCTCAGTGTCTGAGTGGTCAATTCAGGGAATTCTTTGCACCCAGAAAAAAGTGATTTGTGAGAGTACAGGCTTTAACAATACTGGCTGTTTTGTTATTAAAAGATACAGCATTTCTCCTTAGCACTCCTGAATATTGAATGTATTTTAAGTGATATGTTTTTCTCCATGACTTTAAGTTCTTGTATGATATATCCTCTTTCTCATTGCTTCATATAATTTTAAGTTATTTAAGTAAAATATATCTAATACTTGATACATATTCATGATAGAAAGTTCAAAGGTACCAAGGAGGAAGTAATCTTCCCATCCCTGATTTTGCCTGCCTCTCCCAATGTTTTTTCTAAAAGGTAGATTCTGTATGCATACATGAAGGTATATCTGCTGTGCTTATGAAATTCAAACAATAATGTACTACACTTTTTATGAGGTTTCTTTTTTTTTGTTTACTTGAAAATATACTCTGGAAATGGTTCCATCTGAGTACACAGAATTTGTGTTTATTGATTTATTTTTGGTCTTTGTTTGAGATATGGTCTCCCTGTAGCCCCAGATGGCCTGGAACTCACTGTATCGACCAGGCTGGACTTGAATGCAGAGATCTGCCTGCATCTGCCTCCCAAGTGCTGGGATTAAAGGCATGCACCACCATGCCTGGCTTATTAGTTTCCTTACTTACTAAGGTTTGCTTTTCTTATAGATGGCCTATAGTGACCTCACCAGGCATTATAGTCTGTTTATTTCTGAAACCTTCAACTGCCTGTTATGTAAATAGACAATTAGTTTAAAGATCAGAAGTAATAACCCTCCCTCAACTCAAAAGTATTTCTTCTCTACAGACTTTTTCTATTTTTCTTATCCTAAATTCTTTGTATAAACCAACCAACTCTCTGATGTATATCTACTTGGGAACTTTTGTTCCATGGGTAATCGAGATATATATATATATATATACATATATATATATAACAGTTAGAAATTACTGTTGATCTAGGGATGTAAAAAAAGTAGGTTTTATGTAGGCACTATAGC